TATAGGTTCATATAGTAAGTAATAATATAATGTTTAATTTTTGGGGAATTTTGTGTAAAATAAAGTAAATTGGCATATGTTTAGAGAAGAGTTAGGTTCTTATAGGAATTTATGGAATATAGGAGAATAAAATATAATAATATTGATTCGATTGTTGTTCTTTAAGAACTTTTGCTAAGAAATATTATTATATTTAATACTTAAACCCCTTTTAAAAACTACCTAAAGTTACTCCCCAAAATAAAGCCCCTCAACCTCGATAACTTGAGAGTAATTTTAATAAAATAAGCCCTAAAAAAAGTGTATATTTTTTGCATTAATGGATTCTCCAACCGCAGTGATGCATCTGATTTAATTTTTAGCAGAAAAGCACTTAGACACCCCCCGTCCCTCCACTGACTCATCGGTGGGGAATGCATGGCACTATCTGGGCACTAGCATCCACATATCTCTTTAGTTTCCAAATTGGAATTTATATTCTTTGAGAATTTTATCGTCTATGGGTTTTCCGCATTTTTTTGGATGACGACTCTACCACCCTCCCCACCCCCCTTTCCCCTTCCCCCTTCCAGCATAGGTTTATCATAGATTAGATATGGCGCCCCCACTCGGGCCGATATGATTTGTTTTGGGCTTAGTCGCTACTACCCCACCCATCCCCCTGCTACTGCCACTAATTTCAAGGGTGGGCTCTGCTTAACAACAAACTTAAAAAAAAAAAAAAAAAAACTCTATCGTACCTCGTTGGCCCCGTTAATGTTGCGTGCTCGTCTAGGGGTCTTTGGTGGCTTGTTCCAAGTCTTGTGCTTGTTCCCCCACCACCCCTTGCCATCGCCCTACGCCCACTGGCCATTACCTCCTCGACACGCCCGCTCTTATTAAGTGAGTTCCGATTGTTAACTTTATGATGTAATTTTTCTTTTTTTTTTTTTTTTTTGCTTATGGTGCTGCTGGTGTTGTTTCTTTGGGTATTTTTCTTTTCGGGTCGGAGTGGAACAAAAAAAAGTGTAACCAGAGTCGTCAGCGGAAGCAGAAGTGGCACGAACCTTGTTGGCCAAAGTGCCAAAGCCACAGTGGTCACTCGCTAAAGGGGATGGGTGGCTTAAGTCGGTTGAGTAAAGGGATATAAGGGATTAATTAGGGGAGGATGTCAGGGGTATGTTACCGAGGAAATTATATAGTTTCTTGAACAGGTTTTCAAGAAATAATAAATCCTATTACTATCAAAAAACAATTTAAAAGATATCCGGTACTTCCTTATCTATATCCTTATCTACTTCCTTCTAATATCCCTTCTTCCTTAAGTCCCTAGACAGTAGGGCAGAATATTATAAACCACTAGAAAATAAAAAAAGAATATACTATAGACTATATGACTATAGACTTATAGTACCTATTAGTACTTTGTAATGAGTAGCCCAATAGAGACAAATACCATCGTAATATGCATTAGCTTTTCAAAGATAGAACCTCAATAATTCTACGAAAATAAATCCCTTAACTATATCATACCAAATACTTCCTTATAAATGCCATAACAAACAACAAACAAAGAAAATCATAGACTGTATGATATGATACCCGGTACTTTAATATCAATTTTCCAATATGATATCCCAGCTAATATCAATATTAGCCAATTGGAAGAATATTATCTATAAATGCAATAGTTCTTCAAAGGTAGAAACACCAAATTCCACCTAAAAAAAGAAAAAGATAAGCCCAGTAATCTTTAATAAATACCCCTAGACTCCCAAAATAACGGAAAAACTATAACCTAAACCCACATTAGATATTCAAAGGTAGATCTATAATAAAAGAATACAGGATATCTATACAGAATACATAGATATGTATATAGATACGTACGATATACACAGGATATCCTCGATCTATATTGTTGCTTGGAAGGTAAACCCCTCAATAATTCCAAATAAGATTTTTGACATAAAAGAATCTCTAAGCTATATGATAGCCGGTACTACTACACTTTATAGTACTCCTTATGGTACTGTACAGTATGAAAGGATATAAAATTCCCCAACAATTTAAAATACCATTCTTGGCAGACTCCCTTAATCCCTTAAATATATGATACCCAGTACTATTCCCTTTTAGGGAACCACCACTGTAAACTGCAGCAGGGAAGGCGATACCCTGGGCGATTAACCCTAAGCGCCTATTAATACTCTTAACCCGCCAGCTCGAGTTCCCCAGACGGCGTGCCCCGCCGACTTGACCCACTCCCAGGGTTAATTGGCAATTTTTCGCTAGAGGGGCTAGAGAGTGGGTGGCAGTGGGTTGGGGGGACAAGGGTTAATGCAAAATAAGCGAGAGAGAGAGAGAGAGAAACGCCCACTTGGGCTGCAGAAATGCACAAAATACACCGTGGCGGGTATTTGTTTTGGATTTTTGCTCATTTTGTTGGGGCGGGGTGGGGTGGGGTGGGGTTGGTATCGCGGTGTCGCCGCTTGATGGACTCATTGGCACTCGGCTGCTAATCAATGGAACTCGTTTAGAGGTGCCTCAGCTTGGTTTAAAGCCATTTTCAGAGGCTGTTAATTGAGAAACATGTGTGAATTGCAACGAGAGTGTTTTTTCGGCCACGGCCCAGTTAGTTCGAGAAACGCCATTGACACGGTTTCCCATCTCCGGCGAGGGTGTGGTCTTCTAACCTTTGGAGTATTCGGGGGGTTTTCTCGATCCAGGGATTAAGGTGGCCCCTATTTTCCTTTAATTTCTGATCCAAAAACCACTTTCTTTCACTTTCCAACAATCTCCAACAGCTTCACAAGGCGTCGTCGGGAAAGGTAAGCCACAAGTTGGACATAAGAGATATATCCAAAAGGGTGGGGTTACCTTTTCGATTTTTTGAGGATACTTGGGGGTCTATAAGGAATGGTTTTCATAAAAAAAATAATATGAAAATTTGATTTAAAAGTCGTTATGAAACAAATTTCAAGATAAATCTTAAAAGAAAGTCTAAAAAAAGTAAAGATTTTTAAAGATATATGATGATCTTAAGATTAAAGATTAAAGATAAAATACTCTTTCAAAATAATATGTTTTTTTTTTCTAGAAAATCTCATTAATTTTTCTTATAATAATTATAAATAATTTTATTTAAACTCTTTTCTCTGTTTCAACCCTTGAATAAAAATCGAAAATGGCAACCCTGCCCGCTCTCTCGAGCATCTCCGTTGTTTGTCTTCGTCTCTTAACTGCATTTGCATTTTATTTGTTTTTCTTCGTGTGTTTCGTCTTGTGTTTCGTCTTGTTTTTACTCATACTCCTTACTCACTCGTTCATCACTGAAAGAAAATACATGCATCTAGAATAATGAATAGAATAAGGCATTGGGAAGGTCGCAGTAGCTGCTTAGCATCCGAAATCGTGCTTGGGAGCATTTATTTCAGCTGTAATTCAAGAAATCCCCCCAGACAGACCCTGAACACCAGACACGCTGGCAGATTGGAGGTTGAGAATTACAAAGTTGAGAAAAGTGCATCTATGACGGCATTTCAGATACTTTTTAATAATATTTTGTTGTAACTCTTCCGGAATATTATTTAAATTAAATGCTAAGACTAAGAAAGGCAGATATAGAATATAGACTAGATTTGGAACTGGTATTGGGACTGCAGGGAATCTTAATATGTTATTCCGTAGGAGAGTTATTAGGAAGACGATATATATCGGCCAAATAGACTATATTTTGTTGTCTTTTGTAGAATATGGTACTTCCCAGCCCTACGTAGAGTCCTTCTCATCTAGGACCTATAATCTATGGCACTTTGTTGTATATACATATGTACTATGGTCTATCACGTTTTAGACGATTTCAGTTTCTATATTTTCATTATTTGACGATATTATGCTGGGAGTACGTGTTGAAGCTAGAATAATCTACAAAAATAGTTAAAATCTTAATTTTTTTCAAATATTTCTTGCATTTTTATGATAATTCAGAATAATTGGTATGTTTTGGTTACTTTAAGGTCTTTAAGATCTGCTGGTTCTTAGGTTATAACAAAGCATTTTTATTATTAATAGATTAGAATAATATGAAAGAAAGATAGAACATAGACAGAAGATTGGATAAAAAGATTATAATAAGAGACAGCTTCTATTATTTTTCCCTTCAGTGTATGTATGTGTCATTATTACAAGCGATTAAAAGGCTTGATAGATTAATAATTTTTAAGAACATATATTTTTTATACTATTATTTTTGTATTACTTTGACTTGATAATTTTAATAATAATAAAATCCCAATTAGACACTAGAAATAGGAAATACTACGAAATATATAGGAAACTTGGTAGATAGGGTCATATATGTATATAGGAAAAGGTAGATAGAATAAGGATTTTAAGGATTATAAATCTTCTTATATGATCTTGAAATTATTTTTAAATTTCCAATGGGGTTTTTAAAGATTTAAATATTTTAAAGCAAAACATAGAGTATAACTCTTGACGTTTGAAATATTTGGTTAAAATTATTTGAAATTTTCAAAAAAGGAAGAAAAATACTTTTCAAGAAAACATTCTTGTCAATGGATTTTGGATTTAATGGATGTTAAGGATTATTAGTATTTGAAATTATTATTTTTTGTTTTTAAATATGCTTCTTTTTATTTGTCTTTTATGAGAGTTTATTTTATAATATGCTATGTATATTTTATTATATAATATGCTTATTTTTATGAGCCTTAGTTAGCTTTCTAACAAGTATAATTTGTATAAAAACAACAAAAACCACTAAAATAAACCAGTAAAAGGTGGATAATTATCATTTAATTGATAATAATTATAATTTAATTTAAAAACTATATGTCTCATAACATTTAAATTAAAAAACTCTCACAAAAATCATAACACTCACTCATAAAACACCAAAAACTGACACCCTCAGTGTTCCAATACCCGACCCCCTCCCCCCAAGCCAATATCTGAGTACTAATCTTAATTTAAATTTTAAAAATTAACCAACGCAGGTGAATGGCGACGACAGCTGGCTGTACGAGGACATCCAGCTGGAGCGAGGCAACTCCGGACTGGGCTTCTCGATTGCCGGAGGCACCGACAATCCCCACATCGGCACCGACACCTCCATCTACATCACCAAGCTGATATCCGGCGGAGCAGCGGCCGCCGACGGCCGGCTGAGCATCAACGACATCATCGTTTCGGTGAACGAGGTGTCCGTGGTGGATGTGCCCCACGCCGCGGCGGTGGACGCCCTCAAGAAGGCCGGCAACGTCGTCAAGTTGCATGTGAAGCGGAAACGGGGCGGCACGGCGGCCACCACTCCGGGTGCCGGAACGGGTGCGGGGGATGCCCGGGACAGTGCCGCCCAAGGGCCGAAGGTCATTGAAATCGATCTGGTCAAGGGCGGCAAGGGCCTGGGCTTCTCGATAGCCGGCGGCATTGGCAACCAGCACATCCCCGGCGACAACGGCATCTACGTGACCAAGCTGATGGACGGCGGAGCGGCCCAGGTGGACGGGCGACTCTCCATCGGGGACAAGCTGATTGGAGTCCGCACCAACGGAGTGAGTCTCGGTAGCCCTTCTTGGAATCTTGTAAAGTAATTCCTATGTTTTTTTGGTTTTCAGAGCGAAAAGAATCTGGAGAATGTAACGCACGAACTGGCGGTGGCCACACTGAAGTCCATCACCGACAAGGTGACACTGATCGTGGGCAAGACCCAGCACCTGACCACCAGCGCCTCGGGCGGAGGAGGAGGCGGCCTCTCAACCGGCCAGCAGCTATCGCAGTCGCAGTCCCAGTTGGCGACCAGCCAGAGCCAGAGCCAAGTCCACCAGCAGCAGCAGCAGCAGCAGGCGCACATGACCAACTCGCAGTCAACAGGTGCGCTAAACAGTGTGGGCCATACGGTTGTGGATGCGGCGCCTCAGCCAGCACCAGCATCTGCAACCGGATCACCATCACCATCAGCATCTGCATCTGCATCAGTCATTGCCAGCAACACAAGCACAGTCACCACAGTCAGCAAAGTGCCGCCGTCGCTTAGCAATAATAGCAATAACATCAACAACAACATTACCAGCAGTAGCAGCAGCAGCAGCAGCAATGGCAACACCACCACCACCAACAACATTATCAACAACAACAACAACAGTAGCAGCAGCAGTGGCAACATACACGTTACAGCCTCTGCCGCAACACCACCCGCCTCTGCCCCAGCCACCTTCTATAACAATAACGCTTCCATGCCCGCCCTGCCTGTCGGCGAGTCCACCAATTCCAATACGAACACCATCCACCGCTCCCAATCACCCCAGCCGCGTCGTAAGCCTTTGATTTTTTTTAATTTTCTTAATTTTTTCTTAATTTTTATTTGAATTTTGTTCAATTATTAGCTTTATGGATGGTCCTGGACGAAGGCCTTTCCTTTGGGGAGTGAGATTCCCTGGGAATAGAGGCCTTTGGCGGGGAACTGTCGGAAACAGGGCTTGCACAACACTGTTGAGTATTGGAAAGTGTCTGAAAATCGGGGTCTCCACGAAAGACTTCCCTGGTCGATTCTGTCTCGTAAAGACTACTCTTGCAAAGTCGAAAGCATTTCTGCATTCTTCAGAAAGCTTGGAGGCCGGAGTAGAACCAAGTTGTTAAAAAGAAAATAAGGAAAAATTAGAAAGAACGAGGAAGAATTGCTTAGGAAATTGAAAATAAATAAAGTTCCTAAGTTTGAAGGAGTCTCCTAAATAATCTTTAATCTTTAAATCATCTTATAAGATAAATAATCCTAATCTTTAAATAAGGCTCCTAAGTTTGAAGGAGAAGAAAGTAAGATGATACGGTAGAGACCATTGTAGTTCAAACATGAGACCCTAAGAGAGTCGTGTTAGGGATTTAATTTTCTAGGAATTCTATTAGAAACGCTAAATTATAAGCGTGTTAGTAAATGTGAAACAGTGTTTCTCAAAACAGTGTTTTTGAAGTTAGGGATCTGTATTTTTTAGACAAATGGATAAACAGATCAATCTGAAATTTTAACACAATCTCAAACATATATCCCATGTAATAAACAAAGGGATTTATTTTCTAAAAGTTATTTCTATTTTTTTACGACAATTAAATGAAAAAACGTCAGTAAAAAAAGAGATTTTTTTCAAACTTAAGTCATATTGTTCAAAATAGTATTTTTTTTTTAAATTCTTTTGTTCATTAACTGCCGTAATAAAGTAGTTTAAAGAATCAATAAAGTTACTTGGTTTAAGATATTCCAAACTGACAAAAACGAGATCTTAGAACGTAGATTTTAGATTTTAGGCAAGCTAAAAACCTGTTAAAATTAGCTTCTAATTATCAATATAATTGTCTTGCAAGAATTGAAGTTTTCTTTCCAAGAAATATCTAAATATTCAACGAAAAACCCCTTAAGTATACGGAAAAAGGAATTAACCGTCCTGAACCTTTAAGATTATTCATTAGAATTGGCTTTTAGGCTTTTTATAGGAAAAGGCTTTAGGAATAGGCTTTTTATTCATGGGCTTTTAAGGTTTTTAAGGTTTTAAGGCTTTTTAAGGTTAGCATCTTTTTGGAAGCAGATAGATTTTATTTTATAATTTAATTTAAAAAAAATAATATTTTGTATATTATAAGTACAAAATAAGTAAATTGTTATTTAAAGAAAGTTTTGTAGGAACCATGTTATAAAGAATGTTCTGCTGAGATATTACAGAGAGATTATTACCCATCTTCATGAACCTCATCCAAGGTTAGAAGTTCATCTCTTTGAGACAAAAATATAATTTTTTTTTTTTTATAAATTTTATGTAAAGTAACACCTTCATTAAAAGACATTTTTGTAGCGAGTACTTTATAAGGAGTATCCTGCAAAGGTGTTACAGGGGGCCGATTTTCCGACCAGGTTAGACCAAAACAGTGACTGAAATCTAAAGAAAGTGATCCGATGAAAGAGATATCGAATATTTACAATTGTATGTGTTTTCTTTCTATAAAAAAGGCATTAAAATAAAATGTGTCAACAGTTATGTGCAAGCTCTGATCATAGGTCTTACTTTTCTTTTATTTTCCTTTCTTTACTTTCCATACTCTTCGTTTTTCCTTTCGTTTCTTACTAATTGTTAGTTGTTTAACCTCATTTTCCTGTGGATTATAATTTCCTGGCAGGTGTCTTTATTGAAGTTCCCACTTGAATAAATCCACCTGCCTCCGGCTACATTTCAAATCCCAACATATTCCAATCCCAAATCCCATCTGCCGACATGTTTGGACATGTTCTATTGCTATTGCCGACATGCTTAGACATGTTCTATTGCTATTGCTGCTCTGCTTTCTGAGTTCCTGGAAAAAGTCACTTACATTCTCACATGCTGGAAGCTGCTACCCCGTTCTAGCCACGCCCTTATCACGCCCCCGTAGCTACCAACCCCCTCCCCCCAGTTTGCTGCCCCCCCGTCCCTAGATATTGTGCAACAGATAACCATCTCAATGTGGAACCCACACATCCGATTTGATTTTTTGTGTTGTTTGTGTATATAAAGGTGTTTCTAGTTCTGTACATATAACCATTAACGGTGTGTGCGAATGTGGATAGTGCGTGTGTGTGCGAGTGGGCGTCTGTTGGTGTTGTTCTGGGCGGTGATCAATATATAACCTCTTCAGTTTCCGTTTTGTTGTCTTCCGTTTCCGTTTCCGTTTCCGTTGGCCGTTTCCTCATTTTTTTTGTCGCTGTCTTTTGGTTTGGTTCTCTCTCTCTTTTACTCGTGTTGCCTTTTTGTCTCTGTCCCTTTTGCGTTCGTCTCTCTCTCTCTCTCTGTTATTGCCTTTTAAGATTCTTCAAGGAATTTAATTTACTTTCTTGGACGCTGAACTTGCTCGCAAGAAGTCTTCTCATTATTTATTCAAGCTTTATTAACCGCTCTCTTTTTATGTCTCTTGTCTTTACCTATCTGTTTCTTTCTCTCTCTCTCTCTCTCTCCATCTATCTATCTCTCTTTGTCTATATTATCTTGATCCATATGTCTTAATAACTATAACCATTCAATGTGCTACGATAAATACAAATATCGAAACGATATCTCGAAATGCCAACGATAAACCTTAAACCTAAACATCCAACAATTTCTGATAACAACCTAGAGCCCGGCTCGCGCTACGCATCCACAAATGTCCTGGCCGCCGTACCACCAGGAACTCCGCGCGCCGTTAGCACCGAGGACATAACCAGGTGAGTTTATCACTCCAATGGATGTATTGGGCAATTGAGTAGATTTCAAGAGCACCTTTTATGCTTAGTTTGCATTTGTCTCGAAGGACCAAAATCCAAAAGGAAATCAAGTCAGTTAGTTTAAACTAAGCTTCTATGCATGGGCCTCAAAGGAACAATTCTGTACCTTTCATTCCATATCCAGGAAAAATTATCAGGATTACGTTTTAATCTGACTAAGCATTAGGGTCAAAGGAACAAACTCTATTTTAATCTCTGTTTTGTCAGGAACCAGGTTGGAAGTAGATTTTAATCTGAGCTCTTGTCTCGAAGGACCAATTTCGTTTTTTTTTTAAAGAAAAAAAGCCAGTAGATTTTAACAAAGATAGTAGATTTCATACCAACTATGCAATTGGCTATGAAGGTCCATTTCCATTTCTGCTTCATTATAATCCATAGGGAGGTAACAAAGTCAGGAGCAGATTTAAAACTTATAATAAATTTGTCCCGAAGGACCAACTTTAAAGCTTCTATGCATTTGGAACGAAGAACCAATTCTGTATCATTCAAGACATAGTTAGAGTACAATGTCAGGAGTACCTTTTAAACTATGTATGTGTCGCGAAGGACACAATTTATATATTCTTAAAGAAAAGAAGTGAAAGATGCCATTAGTGAGTAAAAAAGTCAGAAGTATATTTAAACTAACTATTCTTTGTACTAGAAGGACCTATTCTGTTTCCTTCAATCCATGGTCTCTAAACAAAGTCAGGATTACGTTTTCAACTAATTATGCATTATACTCGAAGGATCAAGATTGGTTTCTGTTAACCCATAGTCAGGAAACAAAGTCAGAAGTAAATTTTTAACTAATATTCATACGGCTTGAAGGACCTATTCTGTTTTCCTTAACACCAAGTCAGGATTACATTTTAATGTAACTGTAAATTTGTCTCGAAGGACCAAATTCTGATTCTCTTCAAAAATAGTCAGAAAGCTGGCTCGAAGGACCAGTAATCTAAAATTGCCCACAAAGACCTAATCATGCTTTCACAATCACACGAAATATATTTCAATAATTTGTTTCCTGCCACAGGGAGCCGCGCACCATCACCATACAGAAGGGACCTCAGGGCCTGGGCTTCAACATTGTGGGAGGCGAGGACGGCCAGGGCATCTACGTGTCTTTCATTCTGGCCGGCGGCCCAGCGGATCTGGGTTCGGAGCTGAAGCGCGGCGATCAGTTGCTCAGCGTTAACAACGTCAACCTAACGCACGCCACCCACGAGGAGGCGGCCCAAGCGCTCAAGGTGAGTCCTTCCATTGTCCTTAATCCTCTAAAATTTTAATCGAATATCGAACCCGTGTAGACTTCCGGCGGTGTTGTCACCCTGGTGGCGCAGTATCGACCGGAGGAGTACAACCGGTTCGAGGCTCGCATCCAGGAGCTGAAGCAACAGGCCGCTCTCAGTGCCGGCGGCACGGGAACGCTACTGCGCACCACGCAGAAGCGATCGCTCTACGTGCGGGCCCTGTTCGACTACGATCCGAACAGAGACGACGGCCTGCCCTCGAGGGGACTGCCCTTCAAGCACGGCGACATCCTCCATGTGACTAACGCCTCCGACGACGAGTGGTGGCAGGCGCGCCGTGTTCTGGGCGACAACGAGGACGAACAGATCGGCATTGTGCCCTCGAAGCGGCGCTGGGAGCGCAAGATGCGGGCTCGGGATCGCAGCGTCAAGTTCCAGGGACATGCGGCGGCCAACAACAATCTGGACAAGGTGAGTACCGAACCAGGTATAGTCTTCAAATGGGTTACCATCTCTTATTCTTCATCATTGCAGCAATCGACTTTGGATCGAAAGAAAAAGAATTTCACATTCTCGCGCAAATTTCCGTTTATGAAGAGTCGCGATGAGAAGAATGAAGACGGAAGCGACCAAGAGCGTAAGTAGACCAAGAAGAGTCACAAAAGGGATACCAACCAGCCGTCGTCCGTCGTCTCGTCTCGTCTCTGTCACACACTATCTTTCTTCCGCTCGTTCGCTCTTTCTTTGGAGAACATGCCAAGGAGAACCTCAAGCCGAGGAGAAGCTCAAGCCGATCGAATACTAAAAGAAAATTTAATTTAAGGCCCCCCTTCGACAAGAACAACAAAAAAAAAAGAACAAATCGTCCTTTCACTCTGTCGCTTTCTCTACTGAATATCTCTGATTGTTTGGGTGTTTGTTTGTCTGTCATTTGTGTTTCTTTTTTTTTTTTGTTTTAAGACTATTGGGCGGCTGTGCGAATGTCCGAATAGTGTGTTTGTTGACTTACTAAGTAACGTAGGATGTAATGTGAGGCATCTCCCAAGAAGAGCACAACAATTTTGCACCAAAGTCCTTGTCCATTCCATTCCAAAATGTTTAATTTTTAAACTAAAGCAGATATTAATTTTAATGATTTTACAATTGAAACATACTCGACCCCACCCCCTTGTTTTTTGTTTTTGTTCTGTTATGCGTTTTTCATGGTTTCAATTTCTGTTTATTTTCATATTATGTTTGATACCCTCCCGATATATACCCGTGACGTCCAAAACACTCATGAACCAACACACCCACGGAATCCACCATATGACACCATATTCACACGACATTTCCCGTTCTGTTCGATGTGCTTGGATGTTGGATGTTGTATTACCCCACATTGGTGTGTGCCCCGATCATCCCGCCAAACATACAATATATATTTGTTATATGTGTGTGTTCCGAATGTGTGTGTGTAGCCAACGGAGTTGTGAGCAGCACCAGCGAAATAGACATCAACAATGTCAACAATAACCAGTCGAACGAACCGCAACGTAAGTCTCTCTTTTTGGTGTAGAATCGAACGATGAACGATGGAGGAGCTATCTTATATCAGGTGTCAGGATGGTCTAGTCTAGTCTAGAGTCTAGTTGGCTAACAAACAGAACACACATCACCACACCCACCACCACACATTACCCATTTTAGACAGTAAGCTATATATAGCCACACACGATCTTACTAACCGATCTAGTCCTCAATGGGGAACTGTCTAGCTATTCGTGTATATATCTATTAATCTTGTATAGTACAATGGGAAAAAAAGCTAAAGTAACTGATGTAATCTCAAGTATCTGAAGAGCGTTCTTCAGCGGCAGAGTAGCACTGTACATCATGCGATACATCATGAGACATCCCGTCCATCGAGATAAAGACCAAGTTACTCTCTTGTGTTCATTTTAAGAAGCTTCTCTCCTGCCACTTTCTACCGACAGTACATCTATCTTCTTATTGCTCTTCTCTCTCTATCAAAAGTATCTCAGACATCAAACGTGTATCCCAGACGGCTGCTTTCATCAATTCTTTACATCACCTTGAAAGTTTTGTTTGTGAAAACTTGTTCACTTCTCGTTATACATACGTACATCAAATGAATAGAATCCTGGCATCCTGAATGGTTCTTTGATGTACAAGGAACCATCCAGGACCAAAAAAAAATACAACATAATTATTATAATATAGTATATACTATCTATCTGAATGATACCATTTCGAACGCTATTCTGTTTTTAACTGACCAAAACATATATGTTTCGATTCTCTTCTGTTTTCTCTCTCTTCTCTTCCCTTTCGGTTTCTCGTTTGTTTTCTCTTCGTTTTCTAGCCTTTATGCTTTGCTACACACAAGACGATGCCAATGCTGAAGGAGGTATGTACTCGCCCCGAAGACTATACTTATACTTACTATACATAATATATATCTCTCAATATACATATAACTATCTATCTGAATATGATCTAAGAACACCCACATGAACATAATGAATACGTAACTTTACATAGAACTGCATTTGCTGTAATATCCTCCCACAACACCCCCCTCACACATTACATCCATCTACTTATCTACTTACCCGCATACATACGTATATACATAACATACATAACTAATTACATACATGCATACATCAGTACATCAGTACAACGTGTACATCTTGTACATCACACGTGATTAACCGTAAACTTGATTATTAGTTAAATTTTCATGTAATTTATGTTCGGACCCCACCCCCCTACTTTTCGTTCAATCATACCTTTACATCTCTGTACATCACGAGTCTCTGGCGATCTGAGACCAGAGTTATAAATAGCCTCCACTTACTCCATCAACTATTTTTGTGTTCCATACATTACATCGATGTCTAACCGATGACAACTGTACATGGAATATGTATCATACATATGTGCGCTGAGTGTACATCATATGCATGTAAATGTTCATTAAATGTACACTAAATGTAAGACCTCGCAGAAGGTGCAACACTCGGCTAATGATGTACATTAAGTGTAGTATAGATGTACAAACCGGATGTACATTGTTATGAAAAGAAACCAGCTATACATCTATGTCGAATATCGAATCTAGAGGGGATCAGAGTACATCCTGAGACTGGGATCCCCTGTATGTACATCAGGTATCACCATATCAGACACAATTACATCACTGATCCCCTCATGTCCAACCAATTGGTGTCCAGGGAGGAAGAAGTTTCAGTAAATGTATCTTTCAGGTTATTTCGTTCTAATCTTGAATCTTGAGTTGAATTTTCGTTATTTCGTTCGAGCATTACATACTGCGTACATCCAGGCATACGGACCTGTCCGAACACGATGCAGATATATCCAATATCCAGTATATATCCAACAATATATATATATATCATTTCGATAACTGGCTGTTATTTTACTTACTATCCGCTTGCATCGCCGTCGTATCTCAATGTTGCCACCACACTTGGATCGATAACTATCGACTTATCGATTCGTATCGTATCTCTGAATGTACATATAGATGTAACATAACTTGAATGGCATACATCAGTCAGTATGTACATTTGATGAATGTGCTTGGTGTGAATAAACAGTGAAGACACACACACAGAACAGAACATCATACACAGTAATCATCCGCAAAGACGGAATGCACTCGATAAAAAAAAACAAGGCCAGATTAGACACTTTCTCACCCAAAAAATACGTTTCATACCAGACACTACTTCCAAGATAAAACATGAATAAACATGAATAAAATGTGATTACCATTTTATTGTTGTTAATCTTTTGGTATTTTCGTTCTTTTCTTTTTTTTTCTTGAATACATTTAACCCTTGTGTCTGTGTGAACTACTTTGAATTCTTGTGTTGTTTGCCTTCTTCTACTACTACAACTACTACTACTTCCACCAAAAAAAAAAAAAAAAAATTAATTTAAAAAAAAAAATGAAAAAAAATTCAACCAATCTATCAACAAACAACAACAACTACTTCAACAACAACCAACTACTTCAACAACAACAACTACTACTACTACTCTACTACTTTGTGTCAACTCTCAACCGTTCGAATCTACTACTATTCTACTACTATGTCTACTACTACTTTACTACTGTGCGCCAATCGTCACTCCATCTCTCTATTTCCGAATATATATGCAAAATATAATGGAACAACAACAACAACCAAAACAAAAAAATCCAAAAATCGAATTCGAAATACACTTTTTCAAATCCATTCCTTGAGTTTTGTTATTTTTTTTTTTTTTAATATTTTCTGAAATACTCTTTCCACGAAAATTTCGCACACATTTCACACACAAAACACACACACATGTATTTCTTTATATATCAAAATATATCCTATATATTTTACAAAACCAACAACCAACCAACCAAAATCAAAAATCCAATCAACAAACCAATATATATCTCTATATGTATACATATATATTTGTTATAACCATGCGCCCACGAACTGCGACTCTACTACTTACTACTACTACTACTACTACCAACCAACCACTACTACTACTAATCGATCCAAAATACGCTGCTCCGCCCAGGCGAGATTATCTACAGGGTGGAGCTACCCGATATGGAGCAGATAACTCTGATCTACTTGGAGAATAACGATGCTGACTATCGTAAGTCGAGCAACTAAAAAAACCAACCAACAATCACAACCAAAATTAAAAACCAAAAATCTAAAGCAACCACAACAACCAACAGCAAAAAAAAAAAAAAAAAAAGAAAGAAACACATAAAAATAAAAGTTTAAATTGAAATATTTTTTAAACATTTTTTTGTAAAGACTCGTAGCTTAAAAAAACAAGAAAACTCTTAAGTCAAATATTTTATATTTTATGCGAAGAAACAAAATTTTGCAAGATCGAATACCTCTCGGTTATATGATTTTAGTTCCGTTTTCGTTTGTATTTCCGTTTGGTTTCTCTTGCCTATCTCTTGCTTTGTCTGCCACTCATGCTGTCTCACTTCATCGCTCTCTCTCTCTCTCTAGCTAACTATCTCTTTCGGCCTTTCTTCGCTAGACATCTGTCTCTATCGCAAAAAAAAAAAAATAAAGAAAACGTAGCATACATTTCAGGGGAAAAAAAAAACTTGAAAACTATCAGAAAGGCTTTCTTTTAAAAAAAAAAATATTAAATATTGATTTTTCTTTAAATCATTTTATTTATTTTTTTAATTTATTCAACTGTTGTGAATTGTTGATAGTTGCGTAGCATCGAATTATCATGAAAGTGAAACCACTCATAGATGAACTAGTACCCATACACTGAAAAAAAAGAGAATGACACACCAACCGTCCTCAGCAACTTGTATTGTTTGCATTCCTGTTTATATATATTTTTTTTCCTGTGTAGAATACGGGCCTGATGAAGTTAGGACTTGAAGTAGAGTTGATTGTCCCTCAGTTTTTTTGTTTTTTTTTTCTGTGTAATAGTTGACCACCAAACACGCACTAGAGACCCAACCCACCCACACCCACTCCCCCCAACAAAGTGACATTCTTATACAAGCTATGTGGAGTACTGGACCGATGCCACTTCAGTTGGTTTGTTGTTGTCATTCTTGTATTTGCTCGTCTCGTGTCGTGCCGTCATGTTTTGCATGTTTTTCGCACCCAGCCCTTAACCCCCGACCCTTAACCCCTCAAAAGACCGCAAAAATTGTTTCTATAAGTGGAGAAATATTTAAACAAATACAATATTTTACTGTTAAATGCAGTTTAAGCCCCCAAAATGTGTGTGTCTTTTGTACAAAAAAAAAAACCATAAAAGAATAGAGTTCGATTCGGGAAAAGGGACTGTTATTGAACCAATAAAGAAATTGTACAAATCGAGAGAGTTTTATTTCGAATTCTCAACCACCAGACTTCAGCAGCACGGGGCTATTGTTTAGTTTTTAAGGTCCAAGCCCAAGCTCCAGCAGAAAGTGGCGTCAAGTGAGTAAATACCCCCGCACATGGCCCTGTGTATGTTGTGGCAACTTCGAGCCAACCTGGGCTAGTTCCCAAGACACTCACTCACTTACATTCCAAGACCGATCAGAGGAGAGTACACACACACACACCATATACAGAGAAACAGAAAACGCCTTTGATTTTGTGACGAAAAAATTATAAAAATAAAAATAAAAATAAAATGTATCTTTGTGTGCCATGTATGTATGCAACATCATGATGTCATGTATGTAACTATGTTTGCTCGTAGACCGCCTGCTATCTGTATCTGTCTGCCCACATAACCCTAACAATAACCTCAATATATATATCTATATATCGTAATTAAATAGCCATATAGCCATATACTACATCCCGAACTCATAGTGCGTATGCGTGTAGTTGCCATAATCCACATAATGCATTCACATTTTTGGTTTTCCACTTGATTTCAATTTTGAAAAATTATGATTTTTTGTAAATTATCCAAAGACGTACAACTACTTGCTCGATTTAATGGTTTTCATTTTTCAGAAATTATTATTCAATTCTTTGCCTTAGTTTCTGAGAAACAATTGAAATTCAACAATTGAGAGTTCTTGTAAATTTTTGTATGTGAGAGCTTAACCCGACCCAGCTTACAGATATATAACTTTACTCCAAAAATAAATAAAACCATCCCGGAACTCTGCTCTAACTTAAGCTACGATTAGTCCGAGATAGAAGTAATATCCATTTGACATTTGAGTTGTAGTTTCCAACTAACCACTCCAGTAGAGTTACTAGCCCGACCATTCCCCATGTTCCCCATCTTCTCCTCCGAACCTCCCACTCATTTTTTTAGAACACTTTGCGATGACTTAGTCCAGAGCACGCTTGCCCTTTTCCATGGGAGTTTCTAATGGCACCTCTTGTACTACCCTTGCAGCTTCCGAGGAGAACGTGCTGTCGTACGAGGCCGTGCAGCGCCTGTCCATCAACTACACGCGTCCTGTCATCATCCTGGGACCCCTCAAGGATCGCATCAACGACGACTTGATATCCGAGTATCCCGACAAGTTCGGTTCCTGTGTGCCACGTAAGTGTCCCTCTTCTTTTTGAGATGTTCCATGAGTAACTGTTTACAACCCACTTCCAGACACCACCCGACCCAAACGGGAGTACGAGGTGGATGGCCGGGACTACCACTTTGTGTCCTCGCGCGAGCAAATGGAGCGCGACATCCAGAACCATCTGTTCATCGAGGCGGGTCAGTACAATGATAACTTGTACGGCACCTCGGTGGCCAGTGTGCGCGAAGTGGCCGAGAAGGGCAAGCACTGCATCCTGGATGTGTCCGGGAATGCCATCAAGCGGCTCCAGGTGGCCCAGCTCTATCCCGTGGCCGTCTTCATCAAGCCCAAATCAGTGGACTCGGTGATGTGAGTTTCGAGTGGAGTTCCTAATGAACACATTGACTTATTCATGAAATCTCTTCCACAGGGAGATGAATCGACGCATGACGGAGGAACAGGCCAAGAAGACTTACGAGCGGGCCATTAAGATGGAGCAGGAATTCGGCGAATACTTTACCGGTAAGTAGTATGGAGGAGAGACCCTAAACGAGACACTAATCCCTTGTGCTCATCGGTAAACAGGCGTTGTTCAGGGCGACACCATCGAGGAGATCTACAGCAAAGTAAAGTCGATGATCTGGTCACAGTCGGGACCAACCATCTGGGTACCATCCAAGGAATCTCTATGACCAACAGCCACCACAACCTGGACACTGCCGCCTCGCGTTCGCTGTCGACCCGTATCGAGATCCAACACGTCGGCAGCCGGAGGAGCCAACAGTCAACAGCAGTCGCAGCAGAAGACGCCGCACTGATGATGCATCACAGAAGCAACAGTAGCTACAACAATGACAGCAACAGCAACAGGAACAGGAACAGCAGAAGCAACAGTAACCGGAAAAACGGACGGAGAACAGCTAAACTAAACAGATACATATAATAATATAACGACGCAGCCGCAGCAGCCAACTTAATGTAGCAAATTGTCCAACAACTTTTTTTTGGATGCACACTCAGACACACGGACACCAGATACCAGATACCAGACACCAGATCCCAGACGCAAAGAAGAAGGAGCTGAGGAGAACATCAGAGCAAAGCATTTGGCATCGTAGAGACAAACCAGGATGAGAAACCAATAACCTTAAGTGGGTGTTCAAACGGAAGTGAAGGAGAGAAGGGTGTATAGTTTTTAGTTAGAAAAACAAGAGGATGTTGGAAACAAAAGCGAAATATTATAATAATTGTATGAACAAGCCACTTATATATAGACTAAGGAGTAACCCATAGAAACCCGGAAGGTTAAAGGATAATGGATAAAGGATACACGATAAAAGGATAAAGCTTAGAGAAGTTCGTTAAGCGCTAGAGTGTTGTTTGTTTATGTTGATGTTTATATACGAGAGCCAAGAGTTATAGCGAGTTAGTTATGTTGACGATAATGTGTTTTTTGATATATATTGATCTATATATATATATATATATATATATATAACTATGTATACATGCATAAGAGCCGGCAGACAGACATACATACACTCGGATGCTAATGCATAATGTAACTTTAAGTACGACAATGTTTAGTAGCTGACTACGAAAAAAAAAAATCAATAAAATGACGATGACACGATGTGAGGATGTTGCTAAAGCAGAAGCGGAAACGGAACCGAAACCGGAAGCGATAGTCAGAGAGAGTTCAAGAGAGTGTGACGCTAACGATTAATGATAAAGATATTGATGAATATATAAAGCTAACAAAGAAATGATAATGATGATGAAGATGATGAACGTTGGTGCATTTGTTGTTAGATGTATGTAATTTTTCCCACTCGCCTTTGCCTAAAGCAACACAAACGATATAACTATAAATCTACACACACACACACACAGACATAAAGAGAAAAACTAAACAAGAGAACTAAACTAATGGAAATTTTTTGCATTAAAGCCCATTCATTTATTCATTCTACCATGTCTACTTGCACTCGAAACATTTAGCGTGTAGTCCGCCAGCAAGAAATCGTCGAAATATTCGCGCTCCTTTTTGAAACGCGTCCACAAAGTCATTTAACTAAATAAATAATTAAATAAATATATATATGTATTGATATATACATATGTATATAAACACGAGACACCGCATAATTGTAAACTACGGCAACTGAGTAGGAAGGCAGGAATGCTGGGAGACTTGAACGGGGAATGGAAAAGCAATTTGTTGTCGCGTTGATTTAAATTTAAAGAGTAAAAAATATTGTATATTTAACAATCTATAAAGAAAAAAACAAATATAGTTTGTAGATACACACACACACACAGACAGACACAAAACCCATTAAAAACATACATACATGGATTACCGTTGCGGTCTAATTTTATAAAAAAATAAAAGGTATATAATTAAAAGAGAACAATACACCTCGTATTGGAGACAAATCGAATTGCAACGGCAAATAAATAAATAATTTAAAAAGTAAACTAAATTAACGATAAACACACAAAGAGCTGGAGATGAGATCAACTTAAATTAGATAACTATATATTTGCTGATTAATTTATATAAACCAATTTACGATTTATAGCCAACGCACACTGAAACAAAAAACATGCAAAACCACATACGATTGCTATCGAAATTTGTTCAAGAAAATTTAGCAAAATTCAAGTTGAGTGTTAATATTATTATTCATAAACAAAAGATACGCATAAAAAGATTTTTTTTTTTAAATATATTACTATTATTTTTTTTCTCTTTCTCCTCCTACTCCTCCGTCTCCTACTTGAAATATTCAAATATCCTTTTTTTATATAAAGAAAAAAACAAACACGTTGACAATGCCAGAGCAGCAGCAGCTATGGATATTATTTAAAAAATATATATACATACATATAAATACTATGCAATTACAGCAAGAGTTCATTATGATTTTTCACAATGTATACGCCCCGAGAGCATTGTTATATTTAATAATAAAAAACGCCCCACATCTATGCGAATAATTTCGAGTCTAACGATAAATAACTTAAAAAGAATCCAACACAAATCCCCCAGACACGAAGACGACGAGAAAACCTTAACTGTAATAAACAAACAAAATAAAAATTCAAACAAATCGCAAACTTCTTAATCAATTTGATACATCAAATTAGAATTAAACAAACAAAAAACAAAGAGCATTTGGCCGTAAAAAGCTAGTGCAATGATGGGTGAATGATGACGATGTTTACTATTAGAATAACCGCTTAACAGGGTGCGCCCAAAAACACACACTTTTTGGGTGACTATTCGTAGCAAGTGATTTTTTTCGCTAAAAATATAAACTAAAAAAAAACAAAACACAAAAAAATATATATATTATATGTATTTAAAAAAAAAAAACATTTAAATGTAAACCCCCGTATTTGGGAAGGACATCGAGGCAGTGACTATCGCAGAATTTCCTAGCGAAATCGATAAACTCATCTCCAACCGATTCGATTCTTCCCACTGCAGTCTCGATCGAATCCAAGAGCGATCACTTTTTCGAACTAGCCTTTAGTCTTAACTATAGCATGGAAACCTTTGACAGAAACAAACTATCAAGCAATTATCAACTAGATAAAGAAAATATATATATAAATATATTTAAAAAAAAAAACCTTAAAACAAAATAAAATTAGAGCAAGGAGAATCGATTTTCTTTATCCTATACACGCCCTAGAATATCCACATGACACGTCAGGATTATTTTCACCAACACGCGCATTGCTAAAGTATTTGAATACGAAAATATATAAATCTTAAATCCGATATAGAAAGCATGGGAAAGCGTTTCATCAAAATTGTGCCTTTTCTTTTTGTTGTTGTTGTTGTCGAATCGAATTGAAAATCGATGAAAATCTACACACCCAGGTGTACGGGAATTATTAGAGTCCCCGCTATTACCCCCATTTACACACACACGCTGCTTTTAAGTATTTATTTCCTCTTTTATTCTAATTCATTATAAAGCCAAAAGTCCACCCACCCATTCATCCAACCATCCCATCCGAACCCATCATATCCCCATCATGTCCCATCTACTGTCCCATTGGAAGTAAATTCAGTTTTTTTGCTACACAATCATTGAATATAAAAATGAAAACCCAAAACTAGCTTTAGTGAAGAGTATAAAAATTAAATCGAATAAATTTTTGATTGAGGAAGTTGGCGTTTCGTAAGATCGGCTATAGCCACGATATACATACACCCATGAGGCGTATCTCTAGCATAGACAGAATTATTAAAAGAACGGCGAAACGGAGAGGGCGGAGATCCTATTAACCAGATGGAGTGTGGGTAGAGCAAAGTTGGGCTAGTTGGGCTGATGTATTTAAAAAGATATATACATATACCACATGATACGACCATGTGGCACCCGCATATACTTATAAGTACACTACATATGTACAATACTCATGTTCATGTGCAGACTCGGGGAAAACCACAAGCGATCCGATCAAGTGCGTTCCCATGATGTATTATGACAAATGTAATTTGTTCATCACACGATGAAACACTCGCCCACACCACAAAACAACAAATAAGAAACAAACCAAAAAAGAAACACTCGAAATAAACCGTAATAAAAATACGTAATCATAGATCTTGGTTTTTCTCATCAGGGGTTCTAATTGAGGTTTGTGCTTGAGATTAGTAATACAGGTACTAGCCAAGTTACCATTTTACAAAAAGACTGACAAATTTTTGAATCTCTGAAAAATTTTAAAAATTTACATTTAAAGGGGTTAATATTATTGAGTATTCCTCTCGGGGGATTTGGATAATAATGGTATGTATGACTCGGAATCATAGTTGAATCACCAATGTCAAATTTCTTTTCCAAAAGATGATTAAAAACTCCATCCTCATCTCGATCAAAGGTCAAAAATTTGGTGCCCTTCTAAGGGATGGGTCTCGAGTACATTCGCCATGACCTTTCAACATATGTATGTATATCCTTTGTTTCGTTTGCCGATAAAAAAGTTGTCACATTTTATCCTGCCACGCTTTAAAATCATCTCATGAGGCTATTCCTTCGTCAGATGGTGCCATATATCTAGTCCTATAAAGAACTGATCGCTACAATCCAACCAGACATTTCCGAATCCAGTTCTATAAGTTCTAGATTAAACTTTTTTGATTCAAATCTTTTGTTATAAACCAAGCCACTTTTAACGGGTCTTATCCGGGTATTTGGATTTCTTTGGATCCTCCTTTCCTTTTGGCTTCGTGGGCATCTATTTGGAAGAACTAAAAAATTCGATGGGTTATTTTGCATATTACAGGATTAATAAATAATAAAAACACTCCAAACTGATATTACTTCTTCCGATCTAAGGGAGCCCGAAATGAAAAAAAAGCAGCGATAAGGACCACTGGTAGGATCTGGTTTGATTTGACTGGTTTCAATTTTTTGTAAGACACTTGAAGAATTTAAACTTATGCTTTTAAACTCATGGCTCCAGCTTTTTTAATCAGCCTCGAGCTTGAGCTTGAGGGGCTGTGATAAAAAGATCAGTCTTCATGCGAGTGCAGCCTACAAAATTAAGACTGTGGTCGCTCATCTATTAAAAAGTCAAAATATTCCTAAGACGCAGTGATGTCGAAAGTCAGAAAACATTTGATTGGCTACCAGAATTGGTTTAATTACAATATTTACTTATTTTACTTTGGTAGTCTTCGAAAAAAAGGTGTCAAAAAGTTCGTAAAAACAAAAGATTTGAAAGGATACATAAAATTTGGGATCACATTGGTTATGACATTCGGATCAAAATGAAATATGGACATTGCAAATGGAGTTTGACAGAAACCTCATTCAACAAAATACTATCCAGCTGCAAACATCACAAAAAAACTCTCTCAAAATAAAAAAAACTTAAAACATTTGAAAAATGTACGAAACATTTTACGAAAAAATGTACCTAAAAACAACAATGAAATCGGAGACTCTGAGGGATAAAAATCGCCAGATCGTTGCGATTAATCGGGCGAATAGTCGCTCGAAAATGTTCCACCAGAACCGCTCCATTGGCGAGGAGCTGCCTGATCTGAAGATGGAGAAGGGAGCTCACCAGAAGCATCGCGATCAGCGACTCGTCCACTTGAGGGAACAGAGGGCAAAGGTGAAGCTTCGAGCGCGGCTAATCCAAGGAATGTCGGTGGGCGAACAAGCCGTGGCGTTTGCTTTTAGAAGCGAGACATTCAAGCCGCCCAGTAATCTAGACATGAATGTCCCTTTAGAGAAATATTTTCTGGACTTACGTATTTAAATTTATATATTTTATAGGTGAGTACTGATTTTGGGTGTGATTTGGATTCTAATTGATTCTTCTAACTTATCTAAACAGTTATTAGTATAACTATAATTATGAGATAATTCACTAGTAGTTAGTCGCTATAACTATAGTAGTTATACTTGCTGGCCAAATTTTTTGTTGGTACAAGTGGTTTTCCAATTGCCTTTCCATCTTATCCATTAATTATTTTTAAATTGTTTTTTTTTTACCAATTATAGAAAATAGTCCAAGTTGGTGTCGCAAGGACTTTAAAATTGTGCTCTTTCGATGTTTCGTTTATGTGACAACTCGATGGCAAAAATATAAAAAAAAATTATTGTTTATATGGATGGCTGACTGAACGGCGGATTCGGATCTGAGACGATTTGAGCTTCTAATTATAGCCGACTTGCATTTGATAGTTACTGCCACTCTACTCTGCCACTCCAATCTGCTACTCTACTCTGCTACTCTACTCGGCTACTCTACCCGGCGGATTTAATTTTTTCATCAAAGTCCATATTTTTGAACTAGGAATCTCAAGACTTGCTTAATTTTTCAAGATTTCATTGACAAGACTCTATATACTCAGATGTCGGCGTTTTATTCAACTTAACTCTCATTTCCAAGCCGCTGCCAAAGCTGGATTACTTGCTACCGAAAAAGTTGCAGTCATACGTCTAACTTGGTTAAATTATTTTATAAAATTCAGGTATTAATTAAAAAAAAAAAAAGTATTTAAAAAAAATTATAAATGAACGTAAGAAAATGTATAAACTGTTTTAATTATTGGTGTGGTTATGGGTTGAATTTAGAAGGTAAATTAGAAGCTTCCTTCTGTTTTTTTATAACATTTCTCATGGGATCCTTTTGATAAATGAGGTGGAGGCCTACATATGTATGTATATGCCCCACAGCGTTGTCTTTCATTGTCATTTATTCATATCATTTTTACCCGATGGTTAAGTAGAATACTTTAAACGATTTCTACATAATTTCCTAAAAAACTTCAATAGAATCTCGAGGCAGAATTTTTGGTTTAAATTTTTGAAAATTCTTTCTCATGGTTTCCTTTTCAAAAATCCGGTAGAGGCCTATAAGGTCCACAGCAATTTTTTTTTTTATATTTTTAAAGTTTTTTGCTTGTTCTTATAGTGTTACTTTGTAGAGGTCCCTGTAATGTCTAGGAAAAAATTGAAAATTTTAGAAGATTATCAAGTTTATCGAGAAACCTATCGAATTCGATACACAAACAACCAAAACGAAACGTGAAAATGGCGGAATCTACTTTTTCGAATGTAAAATTAAGGTGTTTTCAGAAGAAAAATCTTTTTTAAATAAGCAAAAGCTTAATCGGAAAACGAATGATGTACATTAATAGTCAATGCCTTAATGCGTAATCAATTTTTTTTTTATTTTGATTAGATGTCGATTTTGATTAGAGATTTGTTTTTTGATATGTCGGATATACATATATCTCTACCATATAATGTATTGAAGAGTTAAATACCCTGTACTCATTAAGTCTCTTCCAAATATTTCACAATCTACTCATGAATAGGCGCCGGTTGACAGCCATTCCTCTTCTTTCAGAATTTTGAAATGGCTCGTGCACCAATTAGATCATTAGCTACCATTTCTGTATTCATCATAAAGCTTAGAGGCCCAGACGACCTAGGGGCGCTCGAGAAACGAATAATTAGTATATATTAAGCTAGTTGTAATTTGTTAAGCTAGGAGGAGTTTGTAAGGAAATTTAAAATTCTACACCTTAAATTTGAAGGACAGGAGAGAGATGTTATAGAGTAGAGACCATTGTAGTTCGAACATAAGACCCTAAAAGGGTCGTGCTGCGCATATTTCGAACTACAATAGCTAAGAAATAGAGGACTAGTCCTTCTATTAGGAATGTTAAAATTTAAGCATGTTAGTAAATGCTGGCTATCTATATCCCCATTAATTAGGTTATGCAGAAAAACTACACCGAGCATTTTCCTACGATTTGTTAAGCAAGGTATGCTTATAAAAAAGAAGATTTGCATCCCAGTTTAAACCTCTAAAAGAAAAAGTTAAGAAATTCTTTTGTACGGATTGTATGCGGTCCTTATGTACTCCATATTGGGGACTGAAATGGGAGTAACTTTTGTTCTAAAATTGGTTGAAACTCCTCAACCTTACGTTAAAAAAGTTATAAATTAAGAAGCATGCAATTCTTCGTTGCTAAGATTTATTAATTGGCTCTAACAATTTGATTCATTTTACTTTTAAAGGTAGCCTTTGAGATCACGCATTGTTTCATATATCTTTTATTTATTTTTATTTTAGGCTGTGAAGCTTGACACTACATTTACACATAGGGCTTCTATCTGAGGTATTCTTCTTGTATTATTCAGTACTATGTTAATCGGTGGCTAGTGCAATCAGAGTTGGTTCTCTTCTTTGCACGAAGTACTATATAAGTCATATATAATAAATCAAAATAATTGGCAATGCCATAACATTAGTACTTTTTAAGTTAGACGGTTTGGAATTGGATGCTACTTTTGCTCATCCGATCTGCCGAGTTTCAACAATCGGAAATGTGCTATTCCATTCATAATAATGCAGATACAAGCTTGGAATTTTTAAATAAATTCACAGTGTACTAAATTCTTCTGATTCTACTGATAAGGATAGGTCAATTTTGTCCAAAACACATAACTACAGCTTCGCCCCAAGTTAGGTTTCTTTGTTTTTTGGCTGAATCGTGATAGGCCATAGGAGTTTTATCTGGTACCCAAGTGCACCTATCCATGACTTTCTTGCGCGATTAAAAAAGGCGCTTTATTAGAATTTAGAATTTTGTCACGAAGAGAACTTAAACTGTTTTATTATAATTATTATTTTCTCAAGTAGAGAAAACTTTTAAGAAGATAGCATGTGGATGAATTATAAATATTTATTTATTTTTCGTTGGTAGACTTCGACAAAAAAGGTGTCAAAAATTTCGTAATTTTAATTTAAATTGAATACTAAGGAAGCTTAAAAACGAATTTCAGGCAAAAAATCTACGTAATTCGTATTATAGTTCAAGAACCTATTTTTTTCTAGCTTACATAAAATTTGGGATCACATTGGTTATGACATTCGAATCAAAATGAAATATGGACATTGCAAATGGAGTTTGACAGAAACCTCATTCAACAAAATACTATCCAGCTGCAAACATCACAAAAAAAACTCTCTCAAAATAAAAAAAACTTAAAACATTTGAAAAATGTACGAAATGTACCTAAAAACTACAATGAAATCAGAGACTCTGAGGGATAAAAATCGCCAGATCGTTGCGATTAATCGGGCGAATAGTCGCTCGAAAATGTTCCACCAGAACCGCTCCATTGGCGAGGAGCTGCCTGATCTGAAGATGGAGAAGGGAGCTCACCAGAAGCATCGCGATCAGCGACTCGTCCACTTGAGGGAACAGAGGGCAAAGGTGAAGCTTCGAGCGCGGCTAATCCAAGGAATGTCGGTGGGCGAACAAGCCGTGGCGTTTGCTTTTAGAAGCGAGACATTCAAGCCGCCCAGTAATCTAGACATGAATGTCCCTTTAGAGAAATATTTTCTGGACTTACGTATTTAAATTTATATATTTTATAGGTGAGTACTGATTTTGGGTGTGATTTGGATTCTAATTGATTCTTCTAACTTATCTAAACAGTTATTAGTATAACTATAATTATGAGATAATTCACTAGTAGTTAGTCGCTATAACTATAGTAGTTATACTTGCTGGCCAAATTTTTTGTTGGTACAAGTGGTTTTCCAATTGCCTTTCCATCTTATCCATTAATTATTTTTAAATTGTTTTTTTTTTACCAATTATAGAAAATAGTCCAAGTTGGTGTCGCAAGGACTTTAAAATTGTGCTCTTTCGATGTTTCGTTTATGTGACAACTCGATGGCAAAAATATAAAAAAAAATTATTGTTTATATGGATGGCTGACTGAACGGCGGATTTGGATCTGAGAAGATTTGAGCTTCTAATTAAAGCCGACTTGCATTTGATAGTTACTGCCACTCTACTCTGCCACTCCAATCTGCTACTCTACTCTGCTACTCTACTCGGCTACTCTACCCGGCGGATTTAATTTTTTCATCAAAGTCCATATTTTTGAACTATGAATCTCAAGACTTGCTTAATTTTTCAAGACTTCATTGACAAGACTCTATATACTCAGATGTCGGCGTTTCATTCAACTTAACTCTCATTTCCAAGCCGCTGCCAAAGCTGGATTACTTGCTACCGAAAAAGTTGCAGTCATACAGTCATAGTCATATTTCGTTAAATTATTTTATAAAATTCAGGTATTAATTAAAAAAAAAAAAGTATTTAAAAAAAATTATAAATGAACGTATGAAAATGTATAAACTTTTTTAATTATTGGTGTGGTTATGGGTTGAATTTAGAAGGTAAATTAGAAGCTTAATTCTGTTTTTTTTCAAGATTTCTCATGGGATCCTTTTGATAAATGAGGTAGAGGCCTATATACCCCACAGCGTTGTCTATATCTTTGTCAATTTTTACCCGATGGTTAAGTCAAATACTTTAAATTTTAAACGATTTCTACATAATTTCCTATAAGACTTCAGTAGAATCTCGAGGCAGAATTTTTTGTTTGAATTTTTTGTAAATTCTTTCTTATGGTATCTTTTTCAAAAATGCCGTAGAGGCCTACATATATGGTTCACAACGATGTCTTCATCTTAAACAATATGTATTTTATGTATTTCAAAACTTACTGGAACGTAAAGGAAAGAATGGAACGTAAAGAACGTAAAACAACTAGCTGATAAGACTTTTAAATTTTGTATAGTTGTTTTAGAATCAAAGTTAAAGTTTGCTTACTTCTGCTAATAATAAATATTTAAGTAAATAATAATTTATACAGTAAAATGTACATATACTCGATCGAATGCTTCGCTATGTATTAATTTAGTTAAAAACTTGATACACACATTTAAAATTTAATTGCCAAACATAAGGCGACCTTTACGTGATTTAAATAAATTGAAAAATAATTTTCCCAAATGTATATATATTTGAATAATATATACTTATAAACAACCAGCCCAATTATATACGTCAAGAAGACTATATAAACCAATTCTTGATGCTAATAAAATGTTTTCTGACCTATGACATCACATCTGTATGCTGTTTGTGGAATAAATTGACTTTTTAAAAGATGAGCACTTATAGTCCCAATACGTATATTCTTATCAGAAACCCTCAAGCTCAAGCTCAAGATCAAGGAAGATTAAAAAAGTCGGGTCTCGAAATGAGTTTCGGAGCATCAGTTAAAATTCTCCCAGTGACTCGTTAAGACGAGAGTTTGTTCAAATACAAAAATAGAAAATGATCCGTCCGGTGGTCCTCCTTTCTGCAATATGTTTCCTTTCCGCCTCCCTGGGATCGGAAGAGGTAAAAGTTTTTATTTTTTATTAAAAAAGTTTTTGTTTAAAAAATTAATTAAAATTCAAATTCCACAGTCGTGCTACCTAACTGAAGAGCAGGAGGACGAATGTGCTTCTGTTTGTTACCCAATTGTTAAGCCACTGTTAAGATACTTTGAAAAATGTCAGAAAAAGGATTTGCAGACCACACAGCTCCAAAACGATTACTCAGACCTAAAGGATAGATATTCGGACTTGCAAAACAAGTACGAGAAATTGCAATCTAAGAGTCTGGAAGTAGACTATCTTAAAGCTATAATTGATCAAAAAAATTTACAAATTCATCTTCTAAACGAAAAAATTAGTGACCTAAAAGAAAAAAGTGAGCTTGGAATTTTAACTGATCAATTCCGTGAAGATATAGCCAAATTGGGAGAAATAGTAAAAAATGGAGAAATTTCAAAAACTCAAGATACGATTAATAATAATCAGGCGACCTCGAAGACACAAAATAAAAAGCTAGAAGGACATACTTTGAATAATAATATAACAGAAAAAGTGGAAGTAAAAACTGGAGAAATTTTCACAAATCACCTGGATAGTACTCGTAATCAGATGGAGTCAAAAACACAAACCATAGGTAAGTTAATAAAAAAGAAACCAATAAAAAAGAAAACATTTCATGTTCTAGCTCCTCCAGATCGTTGTCCACAATTTCAAAATAAACGCAAAATTCTCCAAGAAATACACATCCCAGGCTTAGATCCGTTCAAAGTGGCTTGTCACTCAAACAAGGACATTGGATCTGGGTGGATTGTGGTTTATCAGAAATATTTTTATTCAAGTATGTTTAATCGCAAGTATGAGGAGTATGCTAAAGGATTTGGAGATCGAGAGAATTTAATCAAAAATTTCTTTATCGGCCTGGAAAAATTGCACCATCTGATGAATGGAAGGCCTCCAAAACGAAAAATGAGTTGATTGCAGCTCCATTCCAGGGAAAGTGCAACAACTTTGTCTTGGGCAATCAAAGCGAAGGGTATATGGTAAAAAATATTGGCGAGTGCACTGGAAACCTACAGCTGGGCTTTACGCAGGGAACCAAATTTTCCACCTTTGATCGGGATGAGGATGGAGATCCTGATCATAATTGGGCACAGGAAAAACTTGTTGGCTGGTGGTTCGATTCTAGGTGTGTACTCTAAATACTTCCTTTTATTATGAAATAATCAATACAATCTTTATTTTATAGAAATAATGTCTTCTTTGAAAATCGTATTATTCAAATGATGATCCGAAGACAAGACTAGAGAAAACCAACAGCCTTTTTTTTGGAATTTTAAGAAATATTATAAAAAATATATTAAATATAATTATCTTTTTCGAATGAGATTTAAACTGTACTCCAATTAATTTGATAATATTTAAAGAAGCTACCGAAAACAATTTTTATTTTTTGTTTATTTGAAAACATTTAATGTTTTGTTTTTGTTTCATTGCTCGAAAAATAAGGAGGAGAAATATGATGGAGTTTCAAAGAGGAGAAACAAAGCCAAAATACTGAATTTTATGAAGATTTTATGAATGCTGAAGTATCTTTTGTGGGGACTGTTTTTTATAAAAAGTGTCTACAAAGAACCCAACAGTTGGCAAACTTTTCGCATAAGCTCTACCGATTTCTATGAATTTTTGTAAATTAAGAAAAACCTAACCATTTATCTATAAAACAGTTTTACGGAAGTCCCTCTTTCTTTCGGATCAAAAATACGACATTTATGTTTGGAGTAAATCCTAGATTCTGGTGTGCAAGAGGCTGCGATCCAAAAGAGGCTGCGGTAATCGAAATGTAAGATTTAAGGTTTTAATAAGAGGTCAGAAAGCAAAAAATCGCACTTGCTGCAGGGAGCAACAAATGTTGCAGCAACACTATGCATGCTTCCCAACACACGAGCTTTTATTTCTTGCAACACTTTTGTCAGCATACTAGTTAAAGCCTAGAATAATAGATTCCATAACTTGGTCAACGCCTTTAAAATCTTAGAATATGGAATACCCTTTCTCTATCAGGTAATCCAGCAGCTTAAAATATCACGCATACGCACCAATGGCCGTTGAGTGTGCTTATGTGTGTTTCTTTCTTTTTAATTTCGAAAATAAATATTTTTGGTAAATATTGATTGAGTAATAATTTACACTGATACGAAAGGCATTAGCCATTTTAGTCTTTAAAAGGCTAAGAATGATTAGATAAAATTCTTACAAGATGAGAGCCTCAGTGTTATGGCTAGACTGGCAGCAAATCCCTGTTGAGCCGAAAAGTATGTAGGTGGCGAAACATCTGCTGGCCATATTCTGTATTTAGTTAATAAATCGGCTTACGTTTACCGTAATCTTTTACAGATGGCTAAGACCAAAAAAAAAATGTATATATAAGAAAAGAAAACAATCTTTTTCATGGAATTGTCATTTTGGTGGCAAAACGAGCAGAAATCCATCGCCGCTGGAGACGTACGTTTTAGCCATTTGCCATTAGCCATTTGTCCCGCAATTCGAGTTAATCAATAAAGTTGTCCAGGAGCAATTTAGTAGCTGCTTGGCTCCGTCATCTGCGATTTACAACCCTCCTGGCGTAAAAATAAATACTTTATAAATTTCCTGGCATATCCAGGAGGGGGGTGCATGTCTTTCGGTCTTACGGCTTTATTGCGAATTTGTCACTCTGATCGGGGCTTCTGGGCCGTGTACGTGACTTGGCCGATGCCAGTTGGCCATGATCTGGTTAAAATTCGGTTATTGAATAGTGGACCGAATTCCTGCCAGTTGCCAGTGGCCAGTGGTTTTGCTCATTACGTGTAATAGCCATTGTAATTGTCACGTAGCTCGAACAACGCGACAGAAGTGAGCTTCTCTTTCCTGGAAGTTCCTATAATATTGTCCTTTTTTAAGGCGTTAAGCTGAATAATAATTTCTGTTATTGATCCTTTTTGTTCTTGGTTTTACTTACAAAATAAATTCTTGATACATATTATGCAGTTTAGTTTACCATTTCTAAGATGTAGAATCTGCATATTATTTTTTTTTTAAAACTAAGAAAATGATACTTTTCTTATTTTCAAAATGAAAATAATTTTTCAATCAATAAATAATAATTTATATAAAAATATAAACTATATGGTTTTAAGTAAGTGAAGAAAGTAATACTCTATTTACTATACTGTAAAGAAAAAAGTATAATGTTTTAATAAGTATAATAGTATAGTAAAAGTATATAGTAAAGAAAACTATCACTCTACTTTGTAGCCCCCATTCTTGTTTGTGTTTGAACTGAAAACTGACATCACAACTTGGTGATGCACTTTGAAAATGGGCTCCGACAGGGACTTTGGGGCTTGTGGGGTTTGTGGGGACTTTTGGATTTTGGATTTTGCATCTCCAACGGCATCAGCAATTAGGCCAGATCCCGGCAGGGTCGTGAGTGATGGGCGGCATGGGCGGCGGAATGAAGTTCCATCAATCAGCAAAAATGCCACAAAATACACTCGGCCACACGGCCATCGCTGTGGTTTCGTGCAATTCATTTGCTGTCCTCGAAGTGGCAATTGATTTATCCTGTTTCCAAACAGGACTAAGCTGGCCAGCTTCCCTTTCCATGCCGTTATTAATGGAACTCCAATCCAGCGTCCTGACTGTCTGACTGACGGGCAGGATAGCTGAAGGATGTCCGGAGGAAAGTGGGTGGGAAAATTTATGCCCGACTCATTAGCTGAAAATGGCAAGGATTTGGCTTCCGGCTGGTCGTCCTTGGCTCATCCAGATCCTTGGGAAGCAGTCAATCAATTAGCTTTGAGAGTTCATAGTTCAAAACCCCGCGCCGCCGACCAAAAATATGCAAATAATTTCGTGTTTATTATTCGACTTAATGTTCATTTATTTTTACATTCAAAAAACACTGAGATAGTCCATTTATGAGTATAATTATTTCGTAGAATTGCAATTGCCAAGTTCGTTGAAGTGAATTCAAGCATTAAATCGAAAACTTCCTTCCAGTTCCCGCCTGCATTTCGTATTTCAATCTTTAAAATTAAAACACTTTCAATTCAAGTGTTTTGTCTCTAGACTTTGCTACTTAAAATTGGATTTCTTGTCTGCGAGTGGCTTTTATTTAAATTTAATTTGATATTCCCATATTCCACCCGGACAACCTATTTATTTATTTATTTTATATGTTGTTGCAAGAGAACATCCTGAATATGTATGGACTTCCCGGCTACCCTGTAAGTTTCTAAACTTAAAATGCTTTGGATTCCATGAAACCTTCCTTTACTCTTTTGTATTTTTTTCTGAGTTTTTCTTGGGGATTATTATTGGCTAATTCTAAGTGGATAAGCAGTGTCGGGACTTCTACTTTATTTCGAATTTATTTATAAGTCCTTAAGCTAAGAAAATTGAAGATTTGTAGTCACTATGAAGCTTCAAGATTTTGAACCAAATTAAACAAAAGAAACATAAATGAAAACTAAAATACATTCCCTTTGCTGGATTTTCAATCTGCTCTGTGCTTTGAAGGGATTTTACTTTTATTTATTCACTCTCTTGAAATAAATTTTTTTTGTGAATCAATGAATGTATTTTGCTTTAAAAACAAAGTGTGTGTGTTAAAGACAACTATTGCTCGTAATTCTTGTATATGATTGTGAGACACTGTGGGTTTACTTTTGAGGAATGAAAAAACATACCTATATATATTTAAGTTCTGCCATAAATCGAATAGTTTACCGAATTTTATTTTAGTTCAAAGATGTTTTGTAAACTTTGTAAGAATTCGGAGGAAATTGTCTTCGTTATAAATTATATTATAGTTTGTTGCAGATCTCGCGGAGATCGCTCCACGCAGACCCATTGCCCTTATCCGGAAAGCTGGATGGGATAACAAACTTTTGAGCACATTAGTAGAAAGCAGGGGGGAGGTCCCCTTGTAGGACCTCTTGCCTGTGCGTGGTATCACAAGGAGCCCCAGCGGCTCAAGTGGATGAGGGTGTCAGTGACTGACCCCGCATCGCCTCCTCAACCTTTCCTAACCTAACATTGTTATTATAAAAATTATTATACATCAGGTTATTACGGAAAAAAATCAAATGTCGTTTTTTCTTTCAATATATATTTTTGTAAAAACATATTTTTTATAAACGAAGAAAATATGGAATTATAGCCATTTCAATTTCATAGAGCGAATTTTTAGAAATAAGAATCAAATCTAGTAGAAGGTCCTCTTGAAAAAGCCAATTTTATATTGGTATAAATATTTTTTTAAGAAAAAACTAAATCCAATTCAATCTGAGCCATTTGTAAATTATTTATCTTGGAGCCATAAACCAGACTATAGCTTAAATTTAAAATTTATTTTATAGAAACCGACACTGCTCTTAAAAATGGTAGATTGTTTGTAAACCCTAGTTAAGTTGTCGTGAATTATTCACTTTCTGGACATTATTTCTAAGCAACAGACACACCGATACACAGATTAAAAAACCACTAAAAGAGTAACAAGGAGTATGTTTTTTTTTAAGTGTCTAATTGGGCCACCCTCTTAAGCTCCGCCCCCTGCCCCCTGCTCCAAACCACAACCATGTCCACACACACACATTCAGAACGTGGGGCAGAATCGTTGACAACCACAGTTTCCGTTTCCGAATGCAGTTACATTGCATTTCATCATCACAAATTGCTGAAAGGACGAAGCCGGTAGGACGAAGCACCTACAGCGACTCCGTCTCCATCTCCGCCCTGCGCTTCCGGCTCCTCCGGCTCAGACTCCGGCTGAGACCCAACCGGCTGGCTCAAAGCCTCGGGCTCTCCAGGATCGTGTGGCTGGACATGGCGGAGTTGGCCAAGGCAATCGAATTCCCGGCCACCGAGAGGTTCGTCTCGTTCTTGGAGCGACGCCGCCAGAAGCAGCACGGGGCGCACAGCCGCTCGCAGATGTTCATGCCCCGGAAGGTGTCGACGAAGGCCCGCCGGAAGCTGGCGTTCATGAAGCAGTAGGTGATGGGATTGCAGCAGGACGAGGAGTAGGCCAGCAGCTGCAGGAAGCTGATGGCCGTGTAGCCCACATACTCGTACACCACCGGTCCGAACAGCATCGTCATCGTGTTGATCACGTACAGTGGTGTCCAGCAGATGAAGAACTCCAGGACGAGGACGAACAGCATCTTCACGACTCGCTTCTTGCTCTCCAAACTCTTGCTTTCGTTGGAACGACGCGGCACAATGCTGGGGGAGGTAAAGTTTTATGAATAACTTTATTTTTTTCGGGGAATAAAAATGAAGTTTTCTTTAAAAATATTAAAAGCTGTGGGACTCTAATTTATTTTTTTTCAAGCAAAAAGCCCTTACATCTACATATTTTCAAAAATGTATATACTTTAAAGCCCTAAAACTATCTACACTAATCAATTTTTCTTCAAAAGATATGCACTTATTAAAATATGTTTTTGAATCAACCAATAGTTAAAATATAATATTAAATATAAAATATTCATTCGACGTATTTCCGCATCCGATTTAGGGCGATAGGCATCACAACAAACATTTTAAAGATTTTAAAACTTATGTAAAAAAATGAATTTTTGAAAACATGGGATACTTTTTAAAGATCTATTATACTGAACAGCTATAATATTAATTTTTTTAAATGTCTGTAAGTTAAAAGACCTGTTAGACAAGGAACTATCTATTTTTGAATCTTTAATAGAGACATAAAACATCCCAACGCCTAGTTTAAAAAATAATGCATAGTTTGTTTAACTTTGCAATCACTTCTTAAACTAAAAGAAACTTTAAAAAAAAATTCATTCAAATCACATAGTTAAATTCAAAGAAGTGTTGCTTAAAAATAAGTTCTTACCCTCTGAGTCCCACCTCAGTGATCCTGAGACTCGGCTGGGACAAGGACTTGCGACGGGACTCGTTGTCGCTGGTATAGCCCTGTATCTGATGGCGCATCCTTTGTCCTCGACTGCAGCAGTCACTAGGCCCACAACCTCCAATCGATCCTCCACCACCTCCGCCCGACGATCCACTGCCACTGATTTGCTGCTGCTGGTGTTGCTGTTGCTGTCTCAAGGACTTGACCGAGGCGCTCCGCATGCAATAGAGATGCCTTCGTCCTTCGCAAGGACCTCCAGTGAGCAAGCGCCGCTTGCTTCCGCCATGGGAATAGCAGCTGTCCGCTAAGGAGAGGGAGTGACGAAAGTTCAGTTTAATATTGTGTGAAGATGTGATATTTTTGTTTAATTCGAAGCTACATTAGGTAGCTTTTACATACTCCCCACCATATACTCCACTATACTCTTCGCTGGTGGATAAACAAATTGAAATAATCATTTGTCTGTCTCAATGGCGAATGATAGCTCCCACTGCTCCAACTACAGATTCGTGTCTAAAAACTTGATTGATATGTTAGTTGCATGCGCCTAATGATCCGTAATAAGCTTAGTCGACACGCAACCCCAGTTGTTGAAGCGTTTTGGGCTTCTATCTGGTTGTGCTGGAAAGTGTGTTTACTTTCAGTTGAGACCTCCGGAGATGCTGCTGCTGCTCATTCCTCCACTAATCCTCTGGCTTTTCCTTGTGGTCTCATTCATTAGACCGCTCGGCTTCTGGCAGAACTTGGGCATACAAGGGCCTATGGGATGGCCATTCTTTGGAAATATGCTAAAGTTTGCTTTGGGAAAGAAGTCGTATGGCGAGGTCTACGAGGGCATCTACAAGTGAGTCTTGACTACAACTACCCTCCAGATTCCAAAACATTCCTTTTCTAGCGAGTATCCCCATCTGAAGTATGTGGGTTTCTATCGACTGTTCAACGAACCCGCTCTCCTTATACGCGATCAGGACCTAATTCGTCAGATTTTAATGGGAAATCACTTCACAAACTGCTCCGACAACGCCGTTTATGTCGATCCTAACAAGGATACTCTGGCCAGTTGTAATCCTTTCATTGCCAGCGGGGAAAAGTGGCGTTTGTATCGCTTGGATCTAGTGCCTCTTTTCACTCCCAGTCGCCTTCGCCAAATCATGGCTACCGTGACGGATTCCTGCCAGAAATTACGTATATTTCTTGAGAATCGATCACAATTCGAAGCCAAGGAGCTGGCGACCCGCTTTACCCTCCAGGTGGTGGCCTCGGCGGTTTTCGGTCTGGATTCCAAGTGTTTGGAAAGTGGAGAGTCCTCACGTAAAAATCCCTGGCTGCACTGGCTTCTACCGCTTTTTCAACCAAGTTCTTGGAGTCTGATGGAAACTATAGCCCTACTGCATTCCCCCCAACTGGGAAAGGTTCTGAACTATCGGTGAGTATTCCTCCAATTGGCTCCAATACGGGCTTATTTTTATTTTTTCTTAGATATGTCCCCTTGAGTCTGCAGAACTGGCTCCGGGACTTGGTGATGGCCAGAAGTGATGGCACAAGCCTACTCAATTGGCTCAGAGAGGGAAAAAGGACATTGTCCGAAAGCGAACTGGCCGGCCATGCCACCACCTTGCTGCTGGAGGGATACGAGACCTCAGCTATGCTTTTGGCCTTTGCCCTGCACGAGTTGGCCTGCAACGAGGATATTCAGGATAACTTGCTGCGAGAGTTGGACGAAAGCGGCGGGTCTGGGCTATTAAGTGAATTTCGATACACGGAGGCAGTACTTTTGGAAACACTGCGCCTGCATCCGGCCATGCAGGCTCTACAGAAGCGGTGCACCAAGTCCTTTGAGCTGCCCGTTCAGAAGAAGGACAAAGGATGCCGCACATTGGAAGTTAAAGAGGGAACTGTTCTGGTTATACCCGTTCAGGCCATACATTTGTAAGTCCAAATGGAAAAAATGTGAATGGATTTGCTAACACTTTCCAGATACTCCTTGCAGAGATCCCGAACTGTATCCGGCACCCCATCAATTTCAGCCTCAACGCTTCTTGGACCAGTCCGTCCAATCGATGGGATGCAGATTTCTGGGCTTTGGGGCCGGCTCCCGGATGTGTCCTGGCATGCGATTGGGCCTGATGCAGACCAAGGCCGCCCTGGCCACATTGCTCAAGGATCAGCGCGTTGTCCTGGCGGATGAGACTCAAAGGCAACTGAAAATATCCCCACTGACTTTTCTCACATCCGCGAAAAAGGGAGTCTGGCTGCGATTGGTGAACAGAAATTGCTAACCAGCGGGGGAGTCCTTTAAGTATGTCTGGGCTGGCAGATTCTGATACGAGCTATGACGGAAATTATGGGCTTCTAATTATATTACTGCTTTTTGCCTATGCAAATTCTCCACCAAGGACGTCCTTACCCGTCCGTACTCTTCACCCGTCTGGCTCACCAATTTATTATGGGATGTTGGGCGGCAAACGAGGCGAAAAGTTTAAAAATTTAATCAAATTTATTGTCACACAACCACGTGCCGGCAAGTCTACTGGAGTATGTGGAAATGACATCCGCACATCCGCCTCCACATCCGCACATCCGCATTCCTGGTGGCAGGATAACGGCCTTTAACGAGCGCTTAAATGCTTGTCCCGTGCATAATTTACGGCTCTTAAATTGACCTTTTTTGCGGAAGACCATGGGAGGCCATGGGCCAAATAATGGGTCAGACCTTCTACACTGAGAGAAAATCGTAATTTTCGTATGTGCATTTTAAGTAAATCTATTCGCTAGGTATTTCATTCGATCAAGTCAAGCTATAAAGGAGCTATGCCCTTAAAGAGTCTAAAATCTAGAATTAGTAAAATGAGTTAAAATACATATGTATTTACTTTTCTGTTTGTGTTTTTTAAACTAATTTAAAAACATTTTTTAAAGTTTTATTTAAAGAAAAGAAAGCTTAAAGAAGATCTATAAGAACTATTATTTTTATTTTGGATTTAAACGAAAGGATTCATTCGCTGATTACTTGTCTAAAATGTAACCCTTAGCCCTTTTTTAATTTCTTCAAGTGCATTTTCCAACAGGAAATGAATCACTGAAGGACCTTCACGGAGTGTCCTGTCCATTGCAATGATAATTTCCAGTTTCGACCAAAAGTGTCGGGGGGCCTATGAAAATGCAAATGTTACCATTTTTCAACCTGAAGTGTCGCCTTTAAGGCTATTTCGGGAACCCTTTAATGCAAATGAGACGCCTCAAACCCCAACTCTCAACCACCATGTCCTTGGCTTAATTGGACGGGTAGGGGACTAGGAGCCTATGGTAGGGAGTCCCGAATCCAAGATGAAAGAGTTTAAAATTTAAAAGGCAAGGGAAGCAGTAGCAGAGAGACACAGGCTGGTGTGATTTCCATGGGGACTCCCCCGTGGAGGACTCCAAGGACTCGGCTTGCATTTGCCAAGCACGTCACGTTGGCTGCTCCTGCTCTCAAATAAAAATTCGATTGTACATCTGAATAACTGAATATATTGCGTACTTTAAGCCAGAATTAGAGGAATTGATTCGCAGGCGGGCTTCGGCGGAGCCATAATCTCCGGATTATTCACTCCGTGAACGAAAAGCCCGGCCATTCTAGCCACGGGGAGTGCTCGGCACAAGTCCTCGATGCGAATGCAAATGAAAGTGAAAACGCCACCGGGATATTGCCCTTTGACACCCTACTCCACCCTGTGACCGGCCCCCTCTCTCTCTCCTTAGTTGTGGCGTGTGGGGCATAGCCCTGTAAGCCCCACTCGCTCCCAGTTCCACTCCCACTCCCTGCGTCGGATCCACTTCCGCGATTTGAGCAACGTACTTCGTGCGTGGCAAGCTGGGGACTCTGCAAATCGTCTGTGACGTAAATAGTTGCTCATACCCTGCCACAAAGTATCCTTTTGTAGTTTTGAATTTTTCGGGGGGATTCCCAACCAATTTTGTAGTCCAGAAATATTTAAAAACGTTTAAAGGCTGCTATATAATTCTAGTTTCTTTAAACTGTTTTTTTATAACAAAATCAAATATATACTATATTAGTGAATGATCGTGAATACCATAACTTGATTCTTTAGATAGAAGCTTGAGAATGATACTAAAGTTTTTATAAGAATGGTTAATTACATCCGATATCTGTTGTATCTCTTAACTGCAAGGGCATATAAGCATCGACTTCCTCTCTTATTTCGTGTTTTATTTTCAAAAAAGTTTAAAGTTCATACGTAAAAGTTTTCAGCAAAAAAAAGATAAGTTTTCTATTCAAACAAAGATCCAGGGTATGCGCCTGCTTACTCTTCTAATATTATTGTTACTTTTTCGAGAGGTTAAAGGATGGCAGGCGGCTTTTGCGGCAGGACTCAGTGTGCCATTGAACTAATCTCGAACGTTGTCCCCCGGGAGAAGTGGCAACTAATAAAGCCTCGCTGGTGTGAGGCACCACCCCCGCAGTCCCCCTCATGAAGCTCCCAAAAGGCCCTCTGCCCCCCAGAAACCCTTTTTTTTCTGGTGTGGCTGTGAAGCATTGGACTGCAAAAATGTCAAAATCCTTCGGCAAGGAACACCTCTCACCGTAGTAGTACTGCTGCGGATTGTGCTGCTCCAGGGACTGCTGGAAATGGCTGCCGTTGGAGCGCCTCTGGCTGGCGGTTATGGGCGTGGCTGTGGGGCCAGCGAGGGGCGCAGCTGGCAAGGAGGCGGGACCGTGGGCCGGGGCCGAAGAGGCGGATGGCTCTGGGCCACTGCTGCCAAAATTCATGGCCCTTTCGTTGCGCATGCTGACGTACAGGGTCCGGGTTATGAACAGATAGGTGAAGCTCAGGGCCAGGAGCGGCAGCACCAGCAGGGCCAGGTCCAGGAACAGGTTGTAGGCCCGCTCGTAGTTCAGGCTGTCCGCGGGCCACTGCTCACGGCATTTTCGAAGTCCTGCAAAATGGAAAACATTTTTAAAGTCACATTTTTTTCAATATATTTTTTTAAACATTTTAAAAAAGTTTTTATTCTAGCAAAGTATCTTAGCGAATTCGTAGGAAAATTATATTTAAAATATTATCTTAATTTTTAGCAACTACATCTTCAGTACACAATCTTAATACTCTTAGCGATGAGCACTATTGCAATATACGATTTAGTACGAGGTATCTATAAAAGCTAAGCATAATACAAAATAAAGAAAAGTTCTCTGCTGTTTCTAATAAAATTTTAAAAAATATCTAGATTTTAGAATCTGTATTATAGAACAAATCCATATTATCAATTTTTAAGTCAAGTGATAAAAGTTTTCAATTTTTGTTGCATTATTTTACTACAAATAACAAAATAGGATATCCAAAAAAGGTCTTATAATGGCATCCCTAGTCTTGTTGATTTTGATATATTCTGGTTGATTTCAAATGCATGTGTTTTATAAAGGAAAGGTGTAGGAAACTCACCTGGTCGACTGGTCGGCATCAGTTGGCTGAATGCTGCAATCGGGGTCATGCAGAGCAAGCTGCCCAGCCAGATGATGGCTATAATCTTGTTGGCGTGGTTGATGGTCTGCCACGTCCGGGACCTCAACGGATGACAGATGGCGTAGTACCGTTCGCAGGATATGGCCACCAAGGTCCAGGAGGACACGGCCACCGAGGCAGCTGGGGATGAACAAGAATCGCATAACAAATATAAGTCAATTTCCACGAGCAATTAACAAGAATTATTAATCTGCGTTAAGTTAAAACTTTTATGATTCGAATTCCGAATATTAATGGCTTTTCTTGTTAGCATTTAGCCAATTCTGGCCAATTTCCATTTCCGTTGACACTGCCCTCCCGCCGTTAACTTTTATTCAAAGGCCTCATCGGCAATTGTTACGCCGGACCAGGACCAGGAATAATTAAAACGTTAATGTCGTTGTCTCGGTTGGGCAGTGATAGCGGCTGGGGGTCTAAGTACTTAACTCAGACTTTTGAAAACCGAGAATCCACCCAGGCCCTGAATGCCAAACCCCAGGACCAAACTTTGAGCCCGTAAACCCCAAAACCCCTAAACCCAAACTGGCCAAGTTTTCAAGTGGACTATTAGAGTAGAAATAGCAATGGAAATGCCGATTCAAACCTAATCCGTTACTGGCATCACAATCGCAATAAAAACCAACACTCGCAAAAAAATTGCACTTAAAAAAATGATATATCATAGTACCTTTAGAAAATGAAGCGTATGTTATGTAAAGTTTAAGGGACTTAGTAATTTTAAACATTTTTTTTTAGGAAGCATGATGTTGTATGATTTTTTTAAGAGAAACTCTAGTTTGGCTATGTACTTGGATCTTCAAATGAGATGAAACCACTTATTTTATGTAGTAATCTTAAATTACTTATTTTTAAAAGAAAAGAGAGTAGTACCAGGTTTTATATACATATTAAGAATTTGTATATACAATAGTGTTCAATGCTTGAACAGTTAGTATATAGTTTTATATGAAGCCTGAGATTCAATTTTAAAAGAATTTGAGTTTAAGGTTTTTCAGCTTAAATGTGATGCAATCTATACGTGCCAATAATACTAAAAACTTGTATTTTTATTAGGAAAGAAAAACGTGGAAAAATTAGGGGTTTTTTTTATTTTTGGTTTTAATGAAGATTAATAATAAAAGTGGAGATAGTTAGGGAGTTAGTTAAACCCAGTACCAGATGAAAAGTAGTACTACATAAGCGTATGATACGTATTCTTGAAACTTTTATTTATTATTAGCTTGAGCCATATTTTGTTGAATAAAAAATTCAGATTTAGTTTAATATTTATTACTTCAAAATATTTTTACTTAAATAATATTGAATTTATGGTAATTACTTAATTTTAATTATTGCCTATGTATAAATATTTATTTATTTAGGAACTATTTTGTTGCGTGTATTTAAAGCACATATAACTTTTCGACTGAATGCTGGTGGTTTCCTTGTGTGGCGAGATGATGAAACGGGCAAAGCTCATTAACAAAATTAAATTTAGCTTCGTCCTTTGTCGTTGTTCCCATGCTTGGTCCTGTTGGCCATTCGCGTTACATATTCCCCCGATCCTGCAAAAACAGACTCCCACACGCATCCTTTTTTCTGTGGCCGTTGTTTGTGTTTTTGTTTTTATTTTGTGGCGGCAAAAAACAGCAAATACAAAAGGCGAGAAAAACACAAAAACGGGTAAAACGGACCACGGACCACGGTTCAGTGATTTCGAGTCCGCAACAAAAATGTAAATTTTATGGAAATGCTCAAAATAGAAGTCCCCCTGAAACTGGACCAGGAACAGGATCGGGACCAGAACATCGTGGCCGGGGGACCGACAATGAAAATGAATGAAAAGCAAATATACTCACTAGCAACCGCATGGAAAATGGGGAAATTGCAAAGCGGAAAAGTGTGTCGCCGCTTGACAGAGGCCGTAAATAGATTCGTTGATTGAACGGCAACAGCAGAAAATATACATATTGATTGAAGGAAATCAATGACTACTGAGTCCCACAGAGTCTGAGTCCTACTGAGTCCCGCCGTTAATAATGCCCAAGCCTTCAAGTTGGACTTTAAAAATGCATTTCCCTCAAAGCCAAAGCTTGAAACCAGAAGCTAGAAACTAGACTCCTGACAAAATAGTATATGCTGCACATCCTGCTCGAATGACAAAACTTCTAATGATTTTTTCATGCAGAAAAATCCAAGTGTGTGGTCACAGGATTGCAAATTGCCGGCTTTTCAAACGGAAAATCTAACATCCTGGCGGGGCTTTTGTTGCCCCACAAGGACTATTAAGGAGCACGGTCCGGCACCTTTGACATTTTGTGGATTGCAATTAAAATGCCACATGTGTATGAACACGACCCATCGTGGCTCGTCTTTCGCCCACAAACCCCCAAACTATTTCCAAAAAAAAAAAAACGGGAAAAAGTAAGCCCGACTTTTGGCCAGGTCAGTGTCGAATTCTCTGGCTTCTGGCCTTGTTCTCATAAATGCAATTTCATACACTCATACACTTTTTTTGCTTTTAGTTTCGTCCTGCTAATTGTAGTTTTCGACTTGCTTTTTCGATCTTTTTCAACTCAAATTTTGCATATTCTCCAAGCCCGCAAAAGTTGGCCAGCCACTGCGAAATTATGGCAACTGTAAGCCCGGACTTTGGAACTTTGGGACACCAGTGCAGCTCCTCCTCATCTCCTTCTTATCCTGGCACTTTTCCGGCAAATTGCAGGACCTTCTCCGCCGTATAAATAACAAACTGTCGAGTGCAGCCAAACCAAGTGCAGGTGAAGTCGCTTCCTGACCAGCTGTTACCAGTACACACTAAAAAATTGGTACTTATTTTTTCGATACTTTTACTTCCTTTGCTTTGGAAGAGCTTTTTACAACTATGATGTAGTTGGATAGTTCGGTTCTCTATAAGAGCAGGGTGCATATTTATATTTCTTTGAAACTATTATAAATATGCATTATTCTATTAAGATATTGAGGCATAATGAAATAGAAGATTGAAAATTTAATATTAATTTAATAAAATAAAATATGTGTTGTACAATATGGTAATTTATCTTGTATCTGTTAAACAAATAAAGACGGTTATAGATGACCTTCCTGACTATAGGAAGAGCATGATTTCTGATGCTTTTTTACTCACGTTAGGTCTCTTAAAAAGATATATTTTCATTAATTATATTCTTAATAAAATATTTTCCTTACTTTTGGATTCCAGCCACTTAAACTAGGTAGTAGGGGAGAATAAGTAGTCCTCTGAAAATGGCTCGATTTGGCTTTGCATATAAATGCGAATTCCTCATAGATTGTTTCTAGTACATAAGATGGGGTTTTTTTTTTTACAATACATATATTTATATATTGTTGGTGAATTTAATATAAAAATTGCACAATTTTTTTAATACTTTCCAATAGATCTTTGTTAAAAATCCATCAAAATATATGTACTATAAGACATTCAATTTCGTGCGTTGAGTTTTGAAAATCATATATCCTAAGATAAAAAACTATATAATTTTCTAAATAAAAATAAAATATGTAGTTGCCATAATTGGCAATATTTTTCTTTCCGTAAGAACAAACAAGAGCCACTAAGTGTCTGCCAGTCGGTTGTAATTTACTGAAAACCAAATTCTACAACCCTAAAGTTGACTAGCAATTAAAAATCCAAACTCTAAGCTGCTACGGCTTGGCATCAATCTTGGCCGGATCGAGTTAGGACCCTAATTTGCCATAGGGCCAGGTGGGATTTGGGTAACATCATATTGTACACGATACAGCCATGTTGCGGAAGGCCATGTGTAATTTAGAGTAAATATCCAACAAATCCAACAAACTGCAACCGCAATACGTGTTATTGCAGATACATTTTCTTATTTACTTTATATTTATACACTTTTTTTGGGCAAAGGCTTATTAAAAATAAAGTATTTCGTAGTTTTCCGAAAGGAGATTTAAATGGTTTTCATTACGCAGAGTAAATATTTGAGCGGCCCGAGAACAAGTACGGTTAGTGTTTATTTTTGGGCCGGATGCGGGAATATTCTCAGGACTGCCAACTGTCAGTTGAAAAATGAAATGTTAAATAGAAAGATTAAATGGCAATTTAAGGTGAAAAATGGGTATATGTGGTACAATTTTGACATATTTAATAAAACTATAACTATAACTATAACTTTACTATAATAATAGTATAGATTTTTTTGTAGAAATATTCAGCGAAAAACCCTAAAATACTTAAGCTAATAAACCAACAAATTTGTATTTTAAAATCTAACAAGATTCTGGTTTTCTAATTCTATAAGTCTAATTCCATAAATACAATTTTCTGCCAAATATGTTAAATATTTTGAATGCTATTTCTGAATACAGATGAATAGTTTCACAATTTATTTTATTGTCAGGAGAACTTCCTGAAAAAGCTCAAATTTTTGTTAAATAAAAAACAGGTCTACCCTCTAATATGCACTCTATTAAATTCCATAGATTTGCGTAAATATTTAATGTAATTTATATGGGAGAATGGCTTCATAAATTATTGTTATCCAATTGGAAATTGCTTAAAGCTGGGCAATGCAAATTGTTATTGCCACGCACATGCCGAATTTCCCATTTTAAAATCAAAATCCAGTCCAGAAACCCAAAAAACCCAAAAACTCAAACCCAGATTCTAAATCCAATCCAATCCTGAGTTGCCCTCTGGTCGTTGTTTTTGATTTGGCGCTCCATTCAATGACAATAAGTCCATTGCCACGCCCCCCTGTATGCTCAGCCGCCCCTGTCATCATCGTTTCCAGTTACATAACTCGCAGCCATAACGGAAAGTGGATTTTTATGGACTCTACTCGGCCCGAAAGGAGATTTGTATGTCCATGTCCGTGCGTATCCTGGTGGGGAGTGTGCGTGTGTGTGTGCGAGTGTGTTTTTGGCCATCAGGATATGCCATCTGTCCCGGCCGGGTTCTCCAATAAAAATAATTCCAAATTTCGACACAACAATAAAAAATTGCTTGCTTTTTTGTTTGGGAAAAGTTTTTTTTGCGCTTGTCGACACACGCAAGATTGAAAACGGAAAAGTATCTTTTTTATTTATTTATTTTTGGTTATTGTTGTTGTTGTTTGATACCTAAAGAAAAG